CCTCAGGAAGGCCGTGCCGACGACCGATCTCAGTGGAATTCTCCTCGGTGGCGGCGCTGCCGCCGCGGGCGTGGGAGAATCGACGTGCCAGGACTGCGGGAACCAGGCCAAGAAGGATTGCAGCCACCGGCGGTGCCGTACGTGCTGCAAGAGCCGCGGATTTGAGTGCTCGACCCACGTCAAGAGCACCTGGGTTCCCGCTTCCCGTCGCCGCGAGCGCCACGTCGCCGCCGCAAGCTCCTTTGCCTCCACCTCCGCCTCCAAAAAGCCCCGCCTCGTGGCCTCGCAGCCCGCGACCGCATCCCACACCTCCACCCCGAACACCACCCCGCCTCGTAGCTTCGACACCACCTCCAGTCACCAAGGTAGTGCTCCAAGAACTCCCATCTCCATCTACTCCTACTCCTCGCTCGAGCTCTCGTAAAGAAGCCCGAACCTCTGTTACTCCAGACGCGGGCGCCATCGAGAACCTCCCGGGCCACGTACGAGCGCCGGCGGTGTTCAAATGCGTGCGCGTGACCTCCATCGACGACGGAGAAGACGAGTACGCCTACCACGCCGTCGTCAAGATCGGTGGACGCGTCTTCAAGGGCTTCCTCTACGACCAAGGTCTCGACGACGGCGGCCACGCTGACGATGCCAACGACGCCATTCCGAACATCTCGGAGCTGCACCTCGGCAACCGACACGGTGGCTTGTCGTCGTCGCCGATGCTACCGTCGAATGTCTTCGGAGACGGCAGTGGATTCATCGGAGGAACCAACTACGGAAACCAAACAAACTGAACTCATCGTCACTCTTCACACACACACACACACACACACACACACACACATCCAATCCTCTCACGGAGCTTAAAACTTCTATTGCTCATCATCTATCACAGAAGCCTGGAGGTAGCCATGACGAATGCAGGTAGTGGTGAGGGGTTTGGTTCTACTTCTTGTAACCATATGTGTCTTCTCTATTGACTCATTTGTCTTTCTTCAGTCTACTTGAGTTACTATTATTTTTCTTGCTAATAATTCTATCTAGCAACGATGATTACTGCTGTCTCTCTCTGATATGCAACACAGTCTTGCATTGTTACGAGGTGACTGCTGCTTTCTATTCTTTAATTTCTCTTCCATATATGCTTTCTCTTTGATATTTCTCTTCCATATATGTGCAATGTAACTGCTGAAGAGTCGTTTTTGTGCCGTATTTATGACTGCCGCTTTCATGTGATCTTCTTGTGGTTCAGTAGGATGACTCTTAGCCCATTCTTCCTCTTTTATGTATGCTGGGTTTTACGAGGGCTGGTGTGTGCTGGAAGGCATTGCATTGGAACTTGCATCTGAATGATGCTTTCACTATCAGAGAAATGCAGAGAATATGGGTTGCTTTTGCTGCTTAGGGGTTAATATGGCAGCGAGCTTACTGTTCTTTTTGCCATCCCCACAAGTCTTGCCTGTGAAGCTTATCATGACTGAGCAATGGGTTGTTGTTCTTGTATTGTTTGATGACATTACTGGTGCTTTATGATATAATTACATGTATTATGTTTATGATGACCACCATCAGCATGATTGGATCATTTCTAAGACTTAACTCACTGCTCACTGGTTCTCTCATTTGCAGTTTCCTGCTTTCACTGTAGATGACTTCAATTCTGTCTTTCATGTATATTAAAAATTTATTGCCTTTTTTTGTTTTCAGCTCAATAATAAGATTGACAAAATGTTCATTCTCTGCTTATTGTGTCTTTTTGCTTCTACAAAAGCAAGAACTTAAAAGATGTGATTGCATGGTTAGATTTCATTATGACTTGGACATCTCTGATTGAGTTGTAGGACAATGTACTGTGCACTTGTCAGCTTGTTTCTTAGTCTTTATAGCATGTTTCTAGAAACCGCTAGTTATCTTTGTAACATTATGTGGTACATAGTCAGCTATTTGATTCTTACAAGAACTACATAATAAGCAATATAAAGGAAAATATGATTTTGAGAATTCCAACTTTTTGGAGAGTTTTGTTTCAATTAGTATTGAGTGTAATTAAAATATATTTTTCTTGTTTCATTGTTTTAGTGGGTAAGGTAGGAACTACATAATCATATTAGAGCCCATTTGATTTCAAGACAATCATGGGAACTGTGTTCTAATACAGATTGCAAGAAAATTTTCCTATTTTGTTTTTCAATTTCAACTCCTTTACGCCATAGTAACAATTTTTTCCCAACTATCTTAGAGCTGTATGATTTATATGTTAATTCACCATATCCTAACTTATCAAGTATCAATCGAGAATCACATAATTATTCATGAAATCTAGAATTTATTCTCAAAATGAGGTTAGCATAATTTGAGTAATTGTACAAAGGCAAAGCAACGAAGGCATACTTAATTTCTTTAATGCCTTCAGTTTTCTTGGAAAAAAAAGATAAATTTACTAAATGCTTTGCATTTATTTCTTACTATACTCTATTGAGTATTGTTTCTGTGCATGAACCTTGAATCTGCTGGAAATTAAAATATATATGAATTTGAAGTTTGAGTGTCACCTTTTTCTCATGGTCAGTTATGACTATGCCATGCATTGAAGGTCTCTATTGAGTGAGGATATCTGTGCAGTTTAAGCTGTTCAGAATCTTCTTAATTCATTTGCCAGTTCTGGCATGAACCGAAAATATCTGAACATTTGCACTCCTCTACTTTTCTTAAATGAATTTGACAAACATGAAATGCTCCTTATGTCATATGCTTCAATATTACTTACCAAATTTGATTCAATAAAGATGAAACTTTTGTAAGGTAACAAAGTTCTCCTGTTCTCTTATTACTTTAATTCCTTTTTTCCTCATTATACTAAGTAGTTTAATGATTTTCTTCAGTTCATTTGGTTTTTTTTGTATCTGACAATGTTCGACAAACAGATTGCTTATTGCTGTTTATCTTTCAACGATCTTTCACACTTGAATAATAATTGATTTGCAATGTCTGATCAACAGATTGCTTATCTCTGTTTATCTTTGATGATTGAATAATACCAATGTGCACTAAGATACATTCTTTATGTTTTCTTTTTCCGATATGTAGGCGCCAATTCTTGTATGAAATCCTGATCATGATTCATATAAGAACTATGTATTGAATAGGTGACTTTAGTATCTTGAAATGACTCCTAGATTTCTTATCCCCAAGAACTATGTATTTTGTAGGTGGCTTTAATGATATGACTTTTATGTATAGGGTTGATAGGATGATTTGCCAAAAACATGTTTCAAATGAGAAGATCATGTGATATATGTGGTTTGATTTATAACTTGACAATTGAAGTTTGTTAACAAAACTTGAATTTCTTTTTTAATTCTAATGCTGAGCTAAATCTGTCGCTTACTGTCTGGTTTGATGTAGCCTTGTGATTCCTTAAAATACATTTAAGTTGGAGGGTTCAGTATTATCAGATTCAGCATGTCTGCAAGTCAAACAAATGCTGTTTCTAGGTATTACTTGCTTCATCATAGTGCTTCGGTGGATAAAATATGACAAACAGAGGTTTCAGGTAGTAAGGAAGGTTATTTTTTAGGTATTGCTTGCTTCATCATAGTGCTTCGGTGGATAAAATATGACAAACAGAGGTTTCAGATAGTAAGGAAAGTTATTTTTTAGGTATTACTTGCTTCATCATAGTACCTATTTTAGGCATTTGAATCATGATATTTTCTGTAACAAGTTGGGTCTTGTAAGTACAATTTATTTTGTTCTGAGATTGGATGCCGTTTCAATGATGAACTAAAGATATTTTTTGTAAGTTTTGCTAAAGATCACTGCATCTTCTGTACTTGGATCTCTGCAGTATGCATTGTTACTATTGTTTCACAGTTTTATGATCTTAAGTGGTCGATATTTTTAATGGTTTATGCATATGTTGATAACCCTTGCATCTAGTTTTTTCTTCGAATCTTAATCATTAACCTCTGCTGTCTACAACAACACAAAAAGCTATAAAGTCCTACTATTTGGGATCGGCTATCGGCTACATGATCTAAAAACTATGGTAACAATTTTAGATATCGGACTAGGTAAAATAAAAGTTAAAATGCTATTTGGTTTGTTTTGTAGAGCCCTTTACATGAGCTTCCTCGCAAATGTTCGGAAAGATTTGAGGTGTAATTATTGGGAATGTAGGCTCCAGCTTCATTCCGTGGAAAAGAAGTCAGGACACTAAGATATACTGGCAATGCATGCTTTAAGATTAAAGTTAAAAGATGCCTCAATTTTCATATAATTAGCTTCTAAATGTATAATCCTTGACAAATTGTGCATAATATTGGACTGAATTGTGTCTATTGTCATTACAGTATGCTAAAATAACCATTAGAAATTAATAAAGTTTGTTGTGATCATTAGGACACTGCCCATGTCATTATTTTGTATAGAACTGCTGTATGAACTAATCAAGTTCCCAACTTAAGGTGAGCTGTGACTTTTGCCTGTAATGTTCTTTTTAGATGTTTGATAAGTTGTAATGCATTCTGGACATCTGAAATATATGAGAATACAATTCATTCAGTGATTCAGAGATTTGTTGGTTTGCTCAATTTTATTATTCTATGCTGACTGCCTTCTCATTTTAAGATCAGCCAAGTTTTGGAGAATGAATGAGATCAATAATGGTACTTTGTGGATGCCTTCTGGGTGAGATTATAATGAGTGTGTCAGAGGAAAGGCTCTGATCTCATCAAAGGCAGGAAGGAGAGTGGGGACAGTGATAGAACTGGTGCAGTGAGTGGTTTGATATCTTGACCAATGGTTGAGAAAAGACCTACAAATGGCTGCCAGTTTATTTCATGCCTCATTTGGGTCAGTACTGGATGAGAAAAATGCAACTGGATCTTCTTCTCTCTTTCCTCTTGCAGTTTCCCAGCCAACTGGGAAATGTTCGGAAATTATTGCCTAAATAGTACAACACATTGGACACAAGTGGTTGCAGCAGTCAAAGAATACAAATAATGGCATTGAAGTGGACAATGGTGTTTGCCACAATAAGATTACAGCATCACACTCACAAAGCATACAGCCATGATCAAGAACATTCAACACCTATCATGAGTTTCGGCGCGACTGCACCCAGACAAGATGATGCAGAAGTAATATCTGAAATCGTTGAATAAAGTGCATAGTGGCAGTTCTCCGCATTCGAGCTAACATGATTGAAGAGAGGTTAACACACTGTACAGAATGCTGCTGGTTTATTATACACTGAGAAGCAGCATCATAGACATTGAAACACGAAACTACTACTAGCGGCCCAGCCTCTGCAAATGCAGCTGGTGCTTGCCGGCGGCAGCTTTCTCTGCAGCCTCTCGCTTCAGGGCCCTTTTCGCCCTTCTGCCAGTGACATCCTTTCGTGCTTCTTTCTTCTTTGGACCGCGGGTTGGACCCCGGCGTATGCGTCGTAACGATTAAGAAGAGGTCGTGCTGCGTTCCTGCCTACCTTCACGTAACCATTATCGCCCCATCTCCTATTGCCTATATGAATACTTGATTTGCTAGTAACATAATAGCTTTCATCTAAGTCATCGAGTTCATCATCATATTCATACTGTAAAGCATCTTCTTCTACCTCATCGGAAGTTTCAAACCAGCTTGTTCCAAGGAAGAGGCAAACACTCTCCTCAAACATACAGTCGTGGATGCTGCATGAATAATTAATCTGATCGGTACAAGTTCTGGCACTGTTTTTTCTTTCGTCCTAGAGAGAAAAGAAAAGATTGGAAGATGTCTAACCTGCCTTCCAGGAACGGAGAATGTTCAGGAATTCAAATGGATGCTTACACTGATGACAAGAAGGCTTTTCATTGTATAATGCCCAGCGCAGCATGCACGTCACACTGCCCACAGCAAACAATAATGAATGCATAGGCACAAACTTCTCAACATAAATCTGCAGTTTAATACATTGAGTTCAACAAATAAATAAATAAATATTTAGCTCCTTATATTTGCCTCAAACATCAAATTACATTAACAATACATGTCGCAGTAAAATATGGTCTCAAATGTAATCGAATATGCACAAAGGTATCAAATATTGGTCTCGTGTAACTCAGATATAAACATTGCACTTAACTAGAATCAAAATTAAGATACTCAAGATGGGTATCTCTTCTTGATGATGCTAATTGTTTATTGAATTTTCATGATCAATGGAAATATCATAGTCTGCAAGTTGAAATAGACGAGCCCAATAATTCAAAACAAGAAACAAGTGAGAAGCAATTCTTGCTTGTCAAAAGTTCCCAAGGAAGCATACCTGTTGAGTTAGAATGTGTAAAAACACCAGGAATCAGACTGATATGTCACTAAGGATGTGATGCATGCTTACTAAGGACATGTTCATTTCTTCATTTATACCTCTCTTCCATTTCTCCATGACAAATCAAACTTCTTTTGTGAAGTGCAACTGGCAATGGAAGCATTAGATTTGGATGTGGTCATTGAATAATTGAAAGACCTGTTCTAGCACTACAGTCATAGTTAGAGATGCAGATCAAAATGTGATGCTCAAGGGTCATTGAAAGATCTTCTTAGTTCTTTGTTTCTAACACATTTATATAGCAATCTCTGCCAATGACTTCTCTGTCTCCCTCCAGCAGAGACATAATAAAGCTTCCATTACCATCATAATGCAAAATCGGAAGTTAGCATCTCAAGCAATGCAAACACCATTTCTACAATTAATTGAATTGAATGTTTTCAAAACTTAACATGTCAGATATAAATATTGAATGTTTTATTACTTACCAGAAATAAAAAAAATAGTTTGTGTCTTTCGATTTAAAGAAACATTAAAGAAATAAAGACAATCTGATTACCTTGTCAGATATATATATATATATATATATTACTAAACCACAAATAATATGAACAGCACAGAGAAGTAAAGAAGTGATTCATGAGATGTAACAAGTATCTAAACAGCCTCAAAACCAAGAATTGGTACAAGCACAGCAAGATCTGTATGTACATGGAACAAGACGTTAGAGACGAACCAGTAGGCGTGCTCGCAGCCTTTAACAAGCGCCATATCCTGCAGAGCGATCTTCTCCAAGCAAATCGCGCAGAAGCCGCAGCCAGCAGCCGGTCCGCCTCGATCATCGCACCCATTCCCCTTCTCGATCCTCACCTGGCCAGGTAACGTAGTCAGATCAAAAGAGAAAGAATAGATCGGGAGCATCGAGGGATCGAGAGATCTGGATCCTCGCGTTACCTCTCTCAGGGGGCAAGTCAAAGGATATTTGGCGCTGCTCCTTCATGGATTGGCCGCTTAGTTAGGGCAGGACGGGAAGATCGGGAGCGTAGATTGTTCTGCAGGCATCAGCCTTCTCGTCGAGAGAGATCGAGAGAGAGGCGGAGGAGGAATCTCCACGGGCACGGGGAAGATGCGAAAAATAAAATAAAAAATCTATAAATAATATGGGCGAATTCTTAAAAAAAAATTAATTTTGGTTTTTTCTCACAAAACGCTCTTATTTTGAAAAATGCCCAAATTGCATCCCTCCTTTAAAAAAACAATATTAATTTTTAAAAAATTAATGTTGATTTAAAAAATTAAAAAAATTAGAATGTCCAAAGCCAATTGTAAGAATGTTGATTTAAGCATAGATATGTTTTTGTTTATATAAATTTATATTTAATTTCTGTTGAATTATTGTTGATAATTTTTAAATTTTATCTTTGTAGTTTCATTTGTTGGTAATCGTTGATTAGGTTATTCTGAAGAGGAAGAGGGGTTGCAAAGTCATTTTGATTGTATAGTTTTAGGACGAAGTTTTTTGGATTATTTTTATTACTTCCTTATGACAACTACTCAGCCTAATTAAGTAAAATAGGTCTATTTATCATGTGTCACTTGGATATCGTAAGAATTATTGAATTTGATTTTTTTTTGGATATCCTTGATATTCTTATATCTCACTAATTAATATTGACAATTATAGAATGATGATCTAAAAATGATAAGTTTCATGTGGAACTATCCTTTTTTTATCTGATGTATCTTTTTTGCTTAATCTACTTAGTACCAAGGTTTGTAATTTCATACCATATCGGAGTTTCGAGTTCAGCTTAGTACAATACGGTATGAG